CCATTTTGTCTGTAATTTGCTAAGTCCCCCCCATTATTATGTTATCCTTCTTTTATTCTTTAAAATAAAAATAAAAAAAAATAAAAAATAAAATAAAATAAAATAAATCCAAATGGCATGATCTGATATCACATTTAGTTGTTTATATTTAAATATTGACTTTGTTTAAGGAATTTACTTTTATAGATTACATGAGGTATTGTCCTAACAAAATCTGTTGAATAATCCCTTCCCTTATCACTATGTTTTTAAAAAATTCTAAACAGTACTATATGTAATATCATACTCTACTGTATTTCTATTTCTAAGTTCCTATCCTATTTCAATTATGTGAATGATCTCTTCTATTTTGCTCCAGTATTATGCTTTTTATATTTATTATAATTTGTACTTCTTTTTAATATATGGGTGTGGGGATCCTTCTGTAAAATCTTTTTATCTCTTTAGAACTCTTATTTTTCCAGATGAGCACTGAATCATAACAGATAAAACATATAACCACGTGGCAATATTAATTGAAATTCGTAGATTAATTCTGAGAGAAGTGACACCCTCAAGCTTGCAAGAGATCTAAGTTACTTATGCAGCTTTTGATGAAATTGAACAGCACACCTCACGTTACCAATTCTGGCATGGGCCAGGAGGGCTGGGGTCTGTGTTTCTCATCTCAGAGCTTTGGCATTCCAGGAGGCAGAGGCAAGGATGAACTCCAAATCTGACCTGAATATATGTGACAGAAAGGTTTTGGGACTCTGCCTCATTGCTGTTTTTGTTCAATTTTTTAAAAAGTAGACTGCCCTAGTGGACTGTTTCTATGCAAATTTTTTAAAAATATTAAGTTATTACTATTGTATTTACTACTTCTAGCTGTCAAATTTTGGGGGAATGGCATGAATTATGGATGACTCTGAAGAGCTCTGCTACAGAAAAAAAACAACAAAGACTTGGCAGTTTTCACAAAATCAAGACATTAATCAATAACTTCAGGCATAAGAAATTACTGATCATGGACTCTTGCAAGTACAAAAATGGCAGTTTCGCATGGCTTAGCTAAATGGACTCTGACAGTCCCTTTGGGTACATTTTACTTGTTTGGTGTCATGAACATTACAGATTTCCTTTCTTTTCTAACCATGATGCATAAAGAAAAGAAAAAGAAAATGAAAAATTTTGTCTCTGTAAGTGTTTGAGCTATTAATATAAACATCTATGTTTTATAAAATGAGGGCAGGTTGGTGCTCCTGTGAATGTTTCATGAAGGCTGAACTCTCCCATCCCATGCAGCTTTTACTACGAGGAAGAATCCTTTGCTGGAATTTACCAGACTCACTGTCTGCACAACCTTTTGAAAGCACGGAGCACCCTGGGAGTCAGTGCCTTTGCCAAGCGCATGTCTGTCCATAACCTCTTGGATCAAGAGTTCAAGCTCCTCAGTAAACATCAGGCCCTATCTCCTGCCGTCCTCTACTGAGCGATCATTCTGGGCAGTGTGGTCCACTTTCAGGTCCCAAAATACAGCTTGTTTATTTTTGAGGTCTGCAATGAGTGTGTCATATTGATCTTGCTTCTTCCAGCTCAGTCACTTGTCTAAACTCTGCTGTAGTTCACATTCCACACTAAGACTGACTCATTTCCAAGAGTCTATGGGAGGAAATTCTGCCCGGTGTCTGCTAAAGCCCACGTCATGACTGGTTCTGCACAGTACCCTCCTTCTTGATATGTTTTGTTTTCCTGATAAGGCTCCTCACCCAGCTCTGGGCTATCTTGATGACTAAAGCATGCAAGGCATTTCAGTCAGCTGTTTTCATTTCATCCCACCTGGCCTGCCTGATGATTTGGATGAACATCAGCACCAGGTAGACACTGAGTTCCCCAAAGTATATCTGATTTATTTTACTCAACATTATGTTTTCCAGGTGTATCTATTTTCCCACAAATGCCTCAAATTTGCCATTCTTCATAGTCAAGTAGTATTCCGTTGAATATAGATACCACATGTTTCTCTAGTCATCTGTTGATGTCTGCTCCCAGGATTGAGCAATTGCTAATTGTGCTGCTGTAAACATTGGTGCACATGTATCGCTGTGGTGTGATGACTTAAGCTTCTTGGGACGACACCTACCTGGGGGATGGCTGGGTCGTGTTGGGTTTCTAGTGTCGGTCCTTTGGGAGATCTCCATACTGATTTCAATGATGTGCTAGTTTGCATTTGCACCTACAGTGCAACAGGGTTCCTTTCTCACCCCAACGGGAAGGGAAAGAGGATTAAAGAAAAAAACTATGTAGGTCCCCGTACTACCAGGATGCCATTGTTCCGTGTCCTTGTGAGATGCTACCCAACAAAACTGCCCAGACATTGCATCCCGTGACAGCCTCTCCTTACTTTTGTACATGTTTCCTTTTTTTCACCAACAGGCTCTGACATCTGCTCAATGACTGTCCCTTCACGTACTGTAGTGGAAAGTGCTCATTCCAGAGCAGGAGCGGGTACCCATGCAGGAAATGGGTACCATCTAGGAGGGGCTCCTAGGAATCTTTGTAATTTCTGCTCTTTTTCCAGGAAAATGAAAATGCAAACAGAAAGAAAAATGACAAAATGTTTTCATAAAAAGCACATGTGTGGTAGATATTTTATATTACATTATCTGTGAAAGTATAAACCATGTTCACAGCAGCTTGTCCTATTATCTTCCTTTGTAGTCTCAACAAATTTATTAAATAAAATTTGCTCACATTTAGGGTGCTTTACCCAAAGTCTTATCTCTTCCTGGGTTCAATTAGATGAAATCTTTTAATATTTAATAAAAATTTCTTTTATTGAAGTATAAATTAATGACATAATGAGATTGGATGGGCTGGAGCATTCACATGTAATGCTGTTATTAATTCCCTTTAGTCATTTATTATTGTTATTCCTTGACTTATTTAGAGATAATACCTCTTGCCCTCACAGCTTGCAATCTTTTTAGATGTCTCTGAAATGCAGAGTAAATCTACCAGCTACACCTTTTCTCATTTGACATACAGTTCATATAGTTTATTCCTTCATCATGTATATGATAATAAATAATATATCTACTATTTACTGGACAGGAAGTTGCAAAGTTGCTACTTAAAGATGTTCCATTGCTTAGGTAGTTGATATTATTTTATTTTATTAAATATTCAGAGAAACTAGGGGCAAACACTACTTTTTCTTTCTTTTGTTAGAGTCATATGATGCTATAATTTCATAACTCTTCTGTTTCACCAGAAGTAGAACTGAAGTAAAAATCTGTAAATTGGAAAATATGTGTTTGTTTCAAAGTATTTGTTTTATTTTTAAATTTCTTTTTACCTGTCAGTAATGGGCTGTGAAGCAGTACCTTCTACTCTACATATCTTTTAATCTTAGAGTTTAAAGAATTGCGGTTTTTTCCCCTTACTTCTCTAGTTTTTTCTAAGTCCTGCTCTTCACAAGGAAGCCAGAAGTGTGACAGAAAGGTGTGATTTTTAATTTACACCAGTGTCTTGCAAATAATGACTTTTCACACCCCATGTTGCTGCTTAGCCTAGGGAGGAGTTCTGTGGCCACTGTCTGTCTTGACAAATTAAACCCACTGCGGTAGTTCAGAGAGGCGGGCTTCCAGAGTTAACCCTTGTTTTCAGTTTTTTGCCTCAGCATTTGTGAATACTCATGAGCCTGTAGCTTATTACTTTGAACTGTACTGATTTTCTAGGAAATTAGTTTGGAAGGCTGTTATTGTCAGACGGTCAGGTATGAAAGGTAGACATCTTTCCCTTGTCATCTGTTCTCATGATCTTGGTAAGTGTAACTTCCTTAAATACACAAGAAAAAAAAATACAAAAATATTTACTTGTAGAACTCCCAGGATTAAATTTAAGTACGTAATCTAAATAGTATTTTTAGTCTATCTCATAATTCTATCTCTTTAAAAGTAGTTTTTCCTGTCTTGACACAATAGTCAGTAAATTATTGGTAAATTTAGTATTATTTAGATTAAAAATTGCAACAAAGTAATATTAAATGATTAAGATGTTTTAAGTTTCTATCAAGTCCATTAAAAGTCCTTTAGAATGAATTGTAAAAGCAGGGAGTAAGTTGCTCAGGGAAAATAGGAAAAATTTTTCAAATTAGTATTCGTGATTGAAAATAGAAAGAATTGTTACAATTGTAGAAGAGCAGCAGGCAAAAATAACTGGCTAGTTAAGAATATATCCTGGAAACTGTATACATTTCTTTCACTTGGAAAGTTATTGACACATTTAATTATTTTCTAATTTGGAATCTGTCACACAAGTTTTAAAAAATGTCATTTGATTCAAGTTATTTTACTCGTCCCAACAGTGTTCAACAAAGTTCTAGATCTGAGTGGAGGATAGGACAAACACATTGAGATTCTCTGGAGAAACTTGGACCCTACTTTTTCTTCTAAAGAGAAAGGGTTACAAACTAGCTTTCCTGGCTGGGAGTCTCAAGGGGTTAACCAGTCTCAGTTTACTAAATGTCTCAGTCAGGCTTTTATCTGATTCTCTCTCCCTTTTTCTCCTGCCCACCCGTTTTGTAAATGTCAACCACTTCCTGATGAGTTCACACCTTTCTTTCCTTTGTGAAGAAACCTGAGTGTTAATGGTACAGGATTGGGTACCACTGTACGCTCTGGCTGTCTCTTCGTAAAGCTGAGGGATGCTTGTGGGCAGAAGTAGGAGAAGGTGAAGAAATCTGAGAAAGAGACCAGGCAATAAGTTAAAATCTGTCTGGCTTTTACAATAAGTATTTGCTTTCTTAGCAAATTGCAAAAAATATTTGATTTTAGAAAAGCTTAATATTGAAAGTTTAAAGGAGTCTAGCAGAGGAAGGATCTGACTGTTTAAAAAAGTCAAAGAGCATCAGTCAGGAAAAAACGCTGGGGAATCCACTGCCCTTTTATTCTACAGGTGTGTTACTTACAGGATACAACAATGGAAACTTGGTCAGTTGATCAGGTCTGCAGTTGGTTGGTGGAGAAAAACTTAGCAGAGCTAGTTCCCAGGTTTCAAGGTGAGTTATTTACATGTTCAGATAATTTCATTTGAATAGCCTGGACACCCTGAGTGTCGCCTGTTGTTGGAAATTGCCTTTGTTCCCTATTGTGGAAGAGTCCTCTCTCCACAGTCTGTGTGTGTGTGAGTGTGGGTATGCAGTTGTTGCAACAGAGAACTTTTCATTTCTTTATTGACTATGGCAAGTGTCTTCTCAAGAGCATAATATTTCAAGAACTGTCTTATGTACTGCATAGTTGATATGCACGTTTCATATTGCTTTGCCTCTTATAGCCCAAGTATGTGTTTTATTTACAAATATTGGATATTGGCTAAGAGAATTTACTAAGAATAATTCCTCAAGATTTCTTTTTTGCCATATAAAAATAATGTTAGAATGGGAGTGGGGAAGGTGTTCATGAGTAAAGGAAATTTTTTATTGTGACTTCTTGTCTTGGTTCTTTCTTAAGAGTAGACATCAAGTTGGAAGTATGCAATATCAAAATGTGGCTAATTTGTCAAACATGTGGCTAAGTTTTTAACTGTAGAGAACAACTTTGGCTTTGCCTGTTTGTGATGTCTGTATTTTACTGAGATTCCATAAAGAAACTTTCCCCCTCCCCACCCAGAGGAAGAAATAAGTGGAGCAGCTCTTCTAGCACTTAATGATCGGATGGTTCAGCAACTGGTGAAGAAAATTGGTCACCAGGCTGTCCTCATGGATTTAATTGAAAAATATAAGCAGAACAGCCAAGCACTGAAGCCCCCTGGATGCCCTGGGGAGACAGCCCCACGCACACAAGCAGAAGCAGCCCTAGAGTGAGTATGGTCTGACCGCTGTGTTCTGACTGCCTGGGGTTTGAGCCTGTGCTTTCCCAAGGAGACGGCAGCATCTGGCTTGGGGTTAAACTCTTAGACAACTGCAACCATTTTCAGCTGGTTTGTGTGTTCAGTATTTCTCATATGCTCTTTGCTGAATTTTATGAATCCAGATACATCATTTTTATTCACCCCACTTTAAACTATGACTCCAACTGTTAGGGAAGTCTGCTAAGTAGGGAGAGCCTGTGTAGTAACACACTGTGGAACAAGAGCCTGATACAGATGCAGAGGAGAAATGAGCACCTCCAACACAGGTTCTAACATCTGTGGCTGCAAAAGGCATCTAGGACTGCTTCTGTATTTTTCACCAAGCTATTTATGTATTTATTGTGTATGTATTTGTTTATTTGTTTGGGACTCCTTACTGTAAACAGTATATACTCTCAAAGGCTTCACAATATAATTTTCCAACCAGCTTTGCCACAATGAGTATCCTAATTCCTGGAATGGTACGTGCTATATGATAGCACCCCACAGAAATCATGTAGAAAGATTTGTGGCGGCAAAGAAAAGCCCTGAGATTTCAGGGTAGTTTTGTTTGGGCTTTGTTTTCCTAATCATTGTTTCCTGCAATAAAAAGATATGGCAGTAGGATTTATCAAATTAAAATTTTCATTTGAGAAACATACCAGGATTTATATAAGTGTTTTGATTTGGTGTTTTCACATTCAAGACTTTTTGCAAGACTTTTAAAGTTGGATGTTTACCCATTATTCATTAACTTAGAAAAGCAGATGTGATATTTGAGGTTACCCGTTCAATTTTTACATTTTTAAAAACCAAATCCACAATAATACATGGTTCTCTTTTATTGATATGGAATATAATGTTACAGAGACTAAGCTTAAGTAATTTGATTTCCAGAATATTTGGATATTCGGGGCCTGGAGAGGTCAGGTAACCTTGGAAGGCTGGTTTCCAGTTGGACTAGTAATGCTTCCAACTGATTTACTCGAACCCTTTGGAGTCGTTTCACTGTGCGGTTTCACTGTGTGGAAAACGACTTCTCCTGAAGATTGTTTTGGTGCACACTTGCATATGTGATTTTTGGTGATGTTCCCATTGCAGGCTTCTCTTCCTTTCTAGCGAAGGGAGAGTGTGAATTTCAAAGAGAGTGCGAAGTAATTTCCGGGCATTTTTGGATGAGTAGAGCTTTTGAACTGGAAGTTCCTTCAGTTGACTGGAATATTGCTATTGCCTTGGGCACAGCTTAGAAGAAAACAGGCAGCCTTGTTTCTACTGCAAAGCAGTTTTGAATGTTCTCTAGTAAATGAGAACTGGCTGGATTGCCAGGAAATCTGGGCTTCGTTCCTGGTTCTTCCACTCGCTGGGAGGATTATTTTAAATGTTGGCACTTCTGTTTCTTCATCTACACATTGTGAAAATCACCTGACTCTTGGTTAATTCATGCTGATGGAAGGGGGTTCATAATCTGTGAACAAATCTCTCCTCCCTTTCCCAGACCAAAATAGTACTTTGTTAACTATGAACCTTTATTAATCCACCCAAGATCACTGGCAACTAAAGACTAAGAGAAGGAGAAGGAGGACCCTTTGGAGTCATTTCACTGTGTGGTTCCTGTGTGCTAGGAAGCAGACTGATGTCAAATTATGATGCTGTTTTCATCATCTATCTTATAATTTTAAATGATGTTAAGATAATCCTTTCCTTTATGAAATGGTGGTGAGAATAGAATATACCTGTTTTAGTTAATATTCTCATGTAACCAAAAA